CACCCAACTCCTTTGCTGCACGCTTAATGTCTGCAGCAGAAATCTTCCCCTGCACTCAGATGATGAAGAGAAAGTTACCAACAAGAAGAGGAAGTAGAATACAAATAATGCCAGTAACTTACACTTTGATCTTGGTCAATAATGTGAAACGCTGTCATGAGCTCCACCTTGGTGTCCCTTTCTCCAAATTTAGTTGTCATCATGTAACAAAATTCATCAAAGTCAATTGCACCACTTCCATCTTTGTCTACATCAGCAATCATTCGATTGATTTCCTGTAGCAACAAAATTTATTATATGACCATCAAAAGAAGAGTTATGTCATGCATGCCAAAGAAATCTAAGAGAAACATGCCAATTCTGATGTGGCAAGAAGAGAATCCCTGTTTAGCAACATGCTTATCTAAGACGTCGAGAAGAATCATAATCCAGGTTTTAGCCCCTTACATTACATAATATAAAGTTCGTGACCGTCGAACTTGGGTTTATCTAGGCCTTCATATACTAATATTCTTCACACAAGCATCGATACAATTCTACATCAGTTGTTATCAAGTTGCTTTGACAATTTAAAAATCAGTAGTTGATAAGTTGAGGCAACTTAATCATGCATCGAGGCAATTTAAACTTGCAACTTTTAGAAAGTATTTAAAATTCTGAGATGATGAGTGATGAATATGAAACATGTGCTTCTCATACAAGCCCTCCATAAGATTGTTCACCAATCATCACCACAGGGAGAAAGAATCCTGTGTTTCATTCAAAAAGGAAGATTCGTGGATGCAATTATTACTTTGGGATAATAATTATAGCTATAATTACTGGTTAACCTCCATATTCCCGAATATAAAAACATCCTCACATGCACCGGAAAAAATTTATATACGGATAGGCTTTGTCCATTCATTAGCTCTTCGGTCATTTCAAAACCAAGAGCCCTGCAAAGGAACCATGTCAGATTCAATGCCCTTGCAATCATTGACGACACTGTAAATAAATTTGAATAGACACTATACCTCATTGCGACATTTAATTCTTTGGCATCGATGGTACCTGCACAGGGTAAATTAAAAGAGAAAGCAACCAATAAGTAGTCTGCAGATGTATGTCAATGTCAATCACATTAAATATATTCCAATACCAGATCCATCAGTATCAAACTGCTCGAATGCTTCTCTTATTTCCTGCTTTTTCTGACTAGTCAACCCATGATGACGACCCCTGGGTTTATGTTTCCTGGTTACCCCTGTGTAGAGATTCGTCTGCAAGGAGGGTGTTAAGAAATTAAAAGGTTTAAAACAAACAGCAAATAAAATGGTACACATCAATGAACTTGATCAAAAGTAAAGAACTCTGTATGCAAACCTCTTGAAATTCTACAGACAGGCTTCGTTTGGCCACTCGAGGATATCAAAAGAGAGGTAGGAATTCACAGGACTACAAATTTTGGGACTTTCGAAGCAACTTTTATAACAATGCCCATCTCATCAAAGCACCAATAAAACTAGAAAAATAAAGTTTCTTACTCTTTTCTAGGTTTTCCCTCAAATTAACATTCGTTTTGCCTCAAAATAATTTATTTTAAAAAAAAAAAGAAGAAGAAAAAAACAATTTTTAATTGTTTCTGGTCCCATCCCTCTCGATGTTCTGGACACTGAATCCTTGCCAAGGCCTATTGACACGGGATCAGCCAGATCTCGTCTTGTGCATGGAAGCGTAATTTAAGTTTATTAGAAGAAAATTGAACAAAGTGAAGGAACTAAATAAAAACATGAATTAATCAAATCTCAGATAAGTCGGTGAATCAAAATTTCTGATAGAAACAGAAAAATAAAAGTGTTTTGTTACTATACCATGGCGATAGAAATAATCTGGGTGTACAGAAATTTTTTCACAGATTGTGTACAGAATAGGGACAAGTGTGTGGGCCCCATGTTGTATAAAAAATGTCAAAAATGTGTGTGGGCCCTAGACCTGTGAGTTTTCTGTATGTGTTCTTGAAAAAATCCTTCTGTACTTGTAGAAGGGTTCATGGCGATATCGATATGCAGTCAGGCACCTCCTTGCTTCCGCGCGTTTAAGTGCGTGTGCATGGGAGAGAGATGGGAATATGAGGTTTATTGTAGTGGGACTGCTTTTGGGAGGTGAGGTTTATAGACATTATTAACTCGAATGTGTCTCTGAATAAAGTAGGCCAGTAGAAACCCGACTGTAGTATCTTTGCAGCAGTCTTTGAAGCTCCAAAATGCCCAGCATATGCAGAAGAGTGACAATGTTCTAGAATCTCAGGTACTTTATCTTCAGGAATACATCTTCTGATTATCTGATCTGCGCCTCTTCTGTAGAGAATAGGATCCTCCCAAAAGTAATACTTCAGCTCTGTGAAGAACTTCTTTCTTTGATGACTAGAATAGTCTGGTGGCGTGATGGACTTAGCAAGGTAGTTAACAATATCAGCGTACCGTGGGACTACTTCTACTCCAAAAATTTGCTCATCTGGAAAGATTTCATTGATGTCCACTGACATCTCAGGTTCATCCCGTTCCAATCTTGATAGGTGGTCGGCTACCACATTTTCACTGCCCTTCTTATCCTTGATCTCAATATCGAACTCTTGCAACAACAATATCCAACGGATCAATCTCGGCTTAGCATCCTTGTTTGTCATAAGATACTTCAGAGCGACATGATCTATGTAGACGATAACCTTAGACCCAACAAGATACGATCTGAACTTGTCGAACATAAACCACAGCTAGCAATTCCTTCTCGGTCGTAGCATAGTTGATTTGGGCATCATTCAAAGTTCTACTTGCATAGTATATCACATGAAAGATTTTATTCTTTCTTTGTCCCAATACCGCACCAACTGTATGATCACTCGCTTCGCACATTAGCTCAAAGGGCAAATCCCAATCAGGTAACACAATCACAGGCGCTGTTGTGAGTTTTTCCTTCAGAGTATTGAAAGCTATCAAACATTCCTCATCAAACTCAAAAGTTACCTCTTTCATTAGCAAGTTGCACAGAGGCTTGGTGATTTTGGAGAAGTCCTTTATAAACCTCATGTGAAACCCTGCATGACCAAGGAAACTTCAAACTCCTTTTACTGATGTAGGTGGTGGTAGTTTCTTAATAACCTGAATTTTCACCTTATCCACCTCTATCCCCTTTGCCGATACTCTATGTCCCAAGACTATTCCCTCTTAAACCATGAAATGACATTTCTCCCAGTTCAATACTAAGTTCGTTTCTCTGCATCTTTGCAAAACCAAATTTAAGTGATCCAAGCAGTCATCAAATGAGGTCCTAAAGACTGAGAAGTCATCCATAAAGATTTCAATGAATTTCTCTACCATATCTGAGAAAATTGCCATCATGCATCACTGAAATGTGGCAGGAGCGTTGCAAAGTCCAAATGGCATTCTCCGGTATGCAAAGGTACCATAGGGGCATGTGAAGGTGGTCTTCTCTTGATCATCTGGTGCCACTGGTATCTGATTATAACCCGAATACCCATCCAGAAAGTAGTAGTGGGAATGGCCTGCCAATCTCTCCAACATCTGATCTATAAATGGAAGAGGGAAATGATCTTTCCTTGTAGCGGTATTTAGTTTGCGGTAATCAATGCAAACTCTCCACCCTGTTACCGTCCTTGTCGGAATTAACTCATTCTTTTCATTCTGAACCACTGTAATTCCTCCTTTCTTGGGTACAACTTGCACTGGACTAGTCCATTTACTATCTGATATCGGGTAGATTATTCTAGCATCCAGAAGTTTGATCACCACAGCTCTTACTACCTCCTTCATGTTTGGGTTTAGCCTTCTTTGACTTTCAACTGTTGGTCGAAAATTCTCCTCCATGAGAATTTTATGCATACATAAGGAAGGGCTGATCCCTTTGATATCAACTATGGTCCACCCAATTGCTTGCTTGTTATCTCGAAGCACCCTAAGCAGTTTTTCCTCCTCCACTTCACTAACCATGTTTGAAATTATCACTGGAAGTGTATTGGACTCCCCCAAATATGCATATCTTAAGTGTGGTGGCAGCTGCTTAAGTTCCAACTTTGGTGGCTTCAGAATAGATGGTTGTGATTTCTCTGGCCCTGTCCCAAGCTCCTCAAAGTATCGTTTTCGCGTGTAAGGTGGGTTGGACTCCAAAAGTCTTGCACACATTTCTATGTCTTCAGAATCAGAATTCGTGGATTTAGAATATGCAATGCAGGCTTCCAATGCATCTGATGGATTCTGCAGTGTAAATGACTCTTCAATCATTTTATCGATCATGTCAGCCCTGAAACATCTGTCAGTCTCTATTGGCAATTTCATGGCCTTGAAGACATTGAATGAAACTTGTTCTTCTCCCAATCTCAGTATCAACTGCCCATTCTGAATGTCGATCAAAGCTTTGCCTGTGGCTAAGAATGGTCTGCCCAGTATTAAAGCAACATCTTTATCTTCTTCCATATCCAGAATCAGAAAGTCTGCTGGGAAAATGAACTTCTCCACTTTAACCAACACGTCTTCAATTATTCTTCGTGGATGTGTTAATGATCTGTCAGCCAGCTGTAAGGTCACCGTGGTAGCTTTAGCTTCTCCCAATCCTAATTTCCTGAAAATAGACAATGGCATTAAGTTAATACTTGCACCAAGATCACATAAAGCTTTATCAAAATAAAATTCACCAATGGTACAAGGGACAGTGAAACTCTCTGGATCTTTCAATTTTAGTGGGAGCTTTCTCTGAATCCTGGCACTGCACTCCTCTGTTTGCATAACTGTCTCATGATCTCCTAGCTTCCTTTTGTTTGACAGGATGTCTTTCAGGAATTTTGCATAGCTAGGCATCTGAACAAGTGCTTCAGTGAATGGGATGTTGATATGGAGCTTCTTGAAGACCTCGAGAAACTTCTTGTATTGCTGTTCCATCTTTTGCTTCTTCAGCCTCTGTGGGAACGTTATGGGTGGCTCATAGGGGTTTACAGCTATAGTTTCTTTATCCCTTGAGTTTCCTTTATTTGCTCTTGGTGTTGGCTCTTTTGTCTGTTCTTCTTGCTCCAAATTCTCTTCTACTTTAGGAGACACCTCTTCTCTGTTTGCCACGGGATTATTCACTTGTCTCTCAGGCAATTCCACTCCACTTCTCGTTGTTATAGCCTTTGCATGCTCTTTCAGATTAACTTCTGTGTTACTTGGCAGGCTGCCTGGTGCTCTACCTGTTAATGCAACTGCCATCTGTCCCATCTGAGTTTCCAAATTCTTAATGACTACATTCTAGTCCTGAAGAGTAGCTTCTGTCTTCTTCATGAATTGGTTGTTCGCCTCCATATATTGGTTGGTCTGTTCCATGAATTTGCCGAACATTTCTTCCAATTGAGGCTTCTTCTCTTGCTGTTGGTATTGCCCTTGTGGCCTGTTTTGATTTTGGTTGCTCCAAGAAAAGTTGGGGTGCTTTTTCCAGCTTGGGTTGAAGGTCTCTCCATACACATTATTCTGCTGGCATTGTCCCCATTGAGCAAAATCTGCTTGCTCTTTTCCTTGTGTCAAAATTGGGCATTCTGCTGTCACATGCTCAGCTCCACATTCCTCACAATTTGCCTTCTTTGTCTGTGCTGCATTAGCTGACTGGGTAATATTTTCTACCTTGTGAAATAAGGAGTCAATCTTGGCAGATAACGCTGAATATATATCCACTTCATAAACTCTTGGTGTCTTCTTTGGTACTGCTCGTTCCATGGTCTACATTGCTGAGGTTGTAGCCATTGTCTCATATAACTTCAATGCTTCATCAATTGTTTTTGTGGACAATGACCCATTAGCTAAAGAGTCGACCATGCTCTTGAAAGCTGAAAGTAGCCCTGCATAGAAATATTGGACCTGAAGTCCCTTGCTAATCCCGTGGTGCGGACACTTCCTTAGTAGATTTTTGAATCTGTTCCAAGCCTCATCAAAATTTTCAGATTCACCTTGCCTGAAGATAGATATGTCGTGCTTTAGCTTTGCAATCTTGGCCGGTGGGATAAACTTAGTACAGAACTTCTGAGCTAGGTCATTCCAAGTAGTAATGTTGGCTATCGGCTAAGAATCAAGCCATTCAATCGCCTTGTCCCGCAAAGTATGTGGAAACAGTCTTAATCTTATGGTGTCATCAGAGATTCCTTGATATCTGAAGTGCTGGCACATCTCTAAGAAGCGCGAGACGTGCGTGTATGGATTCTCTTCAATTCTTCCATAAAACTGATGTCCGTTCTGGAACAGTTGTATCACATTTGTCTTCAATTGAAAATTTGGCTGCCGAACGGTGGATACACAATGCTGGACTGGCTTTGAATGATTTGAGGGGTCATGAACTCTCCCACGAGCATGTTTCCTTCGTCTTCTTCCCCTCTTTCATTGGCTTGTACAACAGGATTGTGTTGTATGTTCTCCATCTGATTTCTCGTTGCTCTGTTTTCTCTCTGCCTTCTTCTAAAGCTTCGTTCGACTTCTGGGTCGGCTGGGAGTAGATCTCCTTCAGTAGATCTTGGCATGCACTTCTGCAATAGGATTCAATTTAAAGACTTAATTA